CACTTACGTGGTCCAGTCGAATATAACTGGTTTTTCAGATGAATTTATCATATAGCATGCATTGTATTGGTGATCCATTGCAAGAGTTTTACAAGCATTCTTAAAACATTTCATACGAGATGCTATGTTTTTAAAGTAAGTATGCTTGCCCTCAAATCTCATGCACCAAGCTCGTACTAGAGGTCCAACCCTAAAAATTTAATTAGTATTACATTCACATATACTTTCAAAATTTACCTACGAATCCAATATGGATAGTGTATCATGTAATGCATCTTAGGGATTATATTGCAGGTTGGGTGCAACTCTTTAAATGCTTTGTGATGGTCGGCAATCATCACACTTAAGTTATCAATTGCCTCTTGAGGTAATGTGGGAGCAAATAAATAATCAATAATTGTCAGTAGCAAGCAAAAATTATTCCAATGAAGATCATTTTCAGGTACCAGATGCCCTATAATTAATGGCAATAGTCGTCCTAAGCACCAGTATTGAGATGCTACAAAAATACAATAATTAAACACATGCCATATACATGTACATACAATAATTTTTAATTAATTACCTGTTTGTTTTAAGGCATGATCAGACGACTTAAGAGTTTTGGAGGTAATAAGTGATGGTTTGTTGCTAAAGTCGGTACTTCCATATGGGAAAGATATTATAAGATCATTCATGTCATTCAATGAAATCAGTTTTCTATCAATGTACAGTTTCATCATCTCCTTCATCACATATGGCAGACAGCCTTCCAATACATCGTGCATTATATCTGGCACAAGACCATCGGTAATATGAAAATATTGAGATTGGTGAAAAACTGAATCTTGGCACAAGCCAAACGTTGATTCAATATGAGGTCTAGTAGCAGAAGAAGATAATGCAGCCACCTGATATTGATGGGTACTTCGATCACGAAGTTGAAAATCATGAGCATTAAACTATAAACATCAAAACATCATTTAAACAATTAATAATAAAAGAAATATATACAAAAACTAACTCACTTTATTCTGCATGTCTTCATTTGTTGTCATACAGGTGCGACATTTTCTATGTGCTGAAGCTAATGACTTATAGCCACCAAGGTACTGACTAGCTAGATTATCTCCTGGTACTAAAAACAGTGACCCATAAAACCTGGTTTGAGAATTTCCTGTAGTTACCACTAAACCATTCTGTAAAAAATTGTAAATTAATTTTTATAAAAATTAATAATTACTTGCTCCAATTCTTTAATGTCACTCATTACAGGCTCCAAAATTACATTTGGACCATATCTTACTAGTGTTTGAGATTTTGTTATGCAGAGGAGGTTGATACTTGAGAGCTTTGATCGTGACACAGGTGGTAGATTTCCCAGCATATAATAAAAAAGAGCTACAAATTTTAATATAGTATTCAAATTATTGAATTTACTTACCTAACTTATGTTTCTTAGTCCGAGATCCTAACGGATTACAAATTTCGACATCGTCATAATAAATAATAATCTGTAAAGCAGACTTATCAACAGAATACAAAGGATGAGAAGCATAATAAGCAGCATCACAAAAGTCTGACAATAATCCATCACAACGCTGATGTCCTCGAAGAACCTATATGTAATTAATTAGTTAGCTATACTGACTTGTTTTACTAACCTCAGATCTGACATTGTCATTTAAAAGAAGATCATGAAGTGACTTTAATAATCGAATATCATACACATAATCATGTACAGTTTTGTCAATACTTTGACATCCCTTTAAAACTTTAACTTTATGAGAGCCAACCTTCCTCTCAATAGGTTCCTATTAATATCAAAAAGCATGAACTGTCAGTTTTGCACTTTTGTGATAACAAAACTGGAAAAATCAATGTTTATGTAAGTTAAAATACCATGCAACTCAGACTGTAAATATAAATTTATAAAACAGGTTTTTGGACAGAATTATTTTATTCAGACATTTGTTACATGAAATATATTTTATAAAATGTGCATACCACTAACCTGTAGCTTAAGAGTATTCACAAAATATCTATGGCGCAAATATTTAGTTTCTAGACCACAAAAAGGTAACTGGGGGCTATTAAACACCTCATTAATCTTCTCTTCATGTGTTGGAATTTTATCACAAAGCTGCAACCGCAATTCATCCGTTCTGTTTTGTAGTAATAAAGAGATATCAGAAATAATGCTGTCTACAGCGATTTCAGACATTTTGTATGTCTGCTTCATTTTTAACAGGAGAAGTGCACTATGACGCTTTTTAAAGTCAATACTGACATCCATTAGAGCATCATCATCACTGGTTTTCACATTCCAAAATACTTGTCTGCATGGTGTCAATTGTTTCACTTTGAGCTTGTGCTGTTAGACTCAGTTCCAGTGTTGTCCGGTGCTTTCTGTACATGTGTTTCTTATAGGACAAATAATTCGTATAAATCCTGCAACATCCCTCTATTCCACAAACAACATGGAAATTTGCATCCTGTGAATGAATAAGGCCAACATGACGAAGAACTCCTTTCATAGTCGTGTAAGCAGCTCGATAACAAATTGGACAAAGGAAAGCCATCTTGCAGTTGATTAACACTATAGACACGCCTTCTTATTCTTATTAACGCCATTAACCACAATACCACGTTTTGCCAACAGTGTGTCAGGTGCTAATTACAGCTGCAGTGAGCTACTTTGCAATGGAAATGGCTCAGGAAAAAGTAGTACTTTTGTCTTATATGGACCGTAACAGACTTGTCAAGATCCCAGAAGAGAAGGAAGGAAGTGATTTGAGTTTTTTAGAGAAAGACTTTCGGAAAGAATTCTCGTACCAAGTAAGATGTATTCATTACATGTATATACTAACTAGTACTGTATATACATAAAAGTATTGGGGGGTTCAAATATATAAAGACAATTGAAAGTGTCAAGTGGTGCATGTAATCATTAATGTAATGTAGTATACATACAAGGTATTAGTATAGTTTGTTTCTTTTTGGTTATCTGGCACCTGCATGTATCTAAAATTTTCTTATTTTAATAGGGAAACATACACATTAAAATAACGTTTCAAAGGTTTAATGAAGATTGGAAGGAGTACATTGACCTTGATAATGACGAGCATGTGTTTTCTATGGAAAAGCTGAAAGTTATAGTTTCTCCGATTCTTAAGACTCCAGCAACTGTGAGTTGATTTATTAATGAAGTGTATTAAATTATATTGAGATTGTATTTTTTTCGCACAAGTGTTTTGGTAAAGCCTAATGTACATCAAACTTCTATACATGTACGTAGTCATGTTCATCCCGTGCACTGCCCAGGTTTTGCTGATTATATGCCAGTTTATAGGTATGATGATATAGATTCAAATGAATTAGTACATGCAAGTATGTTTGATTTTGTTAAACCATTGGTATTTTATTTGTATGTATTGTATGCACTGTAGATTGGTACTATGATAAAAAATTAGTCTCTTGGTTATGTAATGTTGTGTAATCTTTGTAAGCCACTTCCTGTACCTGTCATAATTATGTGTTTTTAAGGGTGCTGCCTATAGCAACAATTATGTTATGCAGGAATGTTTAAACCATACAAGTGTCCCTTATAAGAACCTTATTAGGCTCTTTTTGCTCCTCTAAAAATGGGTTTTAATTCAATGAATCACCTTTGGGAAAGGGAGTGAAAACACTGGGCACTACCCAAAAAGCTGTGAAATATAAGTTAGATTTTAAAATTGGTGTTTCATGCTTGAAAAATGCAAAATTTTGAAAAATTCTGTGGTATTTAGATTAAGACGAAATTTGCACTAGAGCCTTTTACATTATTACACATACAGTAACATAGAGATATTTCAATTAAACAGAGCTAGTATAGTAAAATGTGGTGTTACATTAACAATATCTCTCTTTTGTACATTGCTCAAGGCTATAGTTTAAGAATCCTTGTAATGTGTTTAACTTATATGCATATTGTTTTTTATTGTAGACTAACAATTCTCCTGTAAATCAGACACCAAAACGAAGGAGGATTCTTCAAGATTATGACAGTGATGAATCTCTTCCATCTTTGCCACCTATTGTTGTTGACACACCTCATATGGTAACCCCTCATATGGAAACACCTCCTATAGAAACACCACCTATGGAAACATCATCAATAATTGATGGCACTTCATCTGCCTCACCTGGTGTTTCTTCAAGCATAAAAAAGAAGATCACAAAAACAGATGATGACAAGATTCCTCTACCTGACCCATTTCCATTGCCAAAACGTTATAGACCAGAGGTAGAGAAGGCTCTTAAAGCAAAGCAAATGAGCAACAAGACACGAAGTGACTTTTTGTCTTCTGTTGCTTCAGCAATTCTTTCATTTAAATTGTATCCAACTCGTGAGGATTACAACTGTGTTGCTCGCTCTATTGTTAAAGAATATCCTTTCCTGAAAGCTCCGCCTGGAGCTGGATCTCCTCATGTAAGAAATGGTATGTATATTATCTCTAATTTTATTTCACAAATAGGGTGCCATTGTTACTCAGCTAATGAATCGATTCAAAGAGTTCAGAAGAGATAAGAAGTCCAGAGACACTTCAAAACCAAGTACCACTAAGCAAGTACAGCAAAAGCTTTCTGGAATCACTTCAGCAATTCCTCCAATTAAGGAGCAACCAGGCGAAGACAACTTTTCATTCCAACAACATCAAAAACGATTGAAAGCTGAATATCAAAAACGCCAACCAAATCTTGATGTTGTTAATGACCTGATGGAACGTTCCTTTTCGATGCGTCGAAATGATATTCTCGTGAAAGGCTACACTGGTGTAGCAGAGCTCTTTGATACTTACCCATTCCTTCAAGACTTTTTTCAAGTATATTCATGGTACTGTGTGTGACTATTTTTATTTATGGTGTAGCTGATGACAGAGATGAGTAGAATTCTTCAGAGACCAGCTGAATTTATTGATTATGCTACAGAGATTTGGAGTATCAAATCAGAAGCTATATTTAAGCATGCCAATGAT